ACGTCAGTTTTTCATGGTTCTGTCTTGTTATTGTCAATGAATTTCGTCGTAAGATTGTCAAAGTAGTCTGCAGCAAACTTATATGATGAAATTCATGATCAATAACAGGACAAACGCATGGAAAACTGACGTCAATTTGTTAATAAGAACTACGCCTTACAAATGCCCCGCTCTACAATCACCTCGCTGTTAACTCCACGTTCGCTTATCAAAAACTCCCATTTACCCGACAACGGCAACGACATTTTTGGTCCTTACTGATAACAGCAAATAAGTACCTCGGGAGAAGTTCTCCATCGCTAATATGATATCGAACCTCGCTTCCGAACATAAACTGTCTTGCCTTCGCTGCTCTCGCCTGTTTTAAATTGTGTCAAAGGAATTTTCTTCAATCTCGGATATTTCTTTTTGTTAAATCCGCCCTTATCGAAAAGCGCAAGATGTTTACCAAGCCTCTCAAAATAAATAGAATTCCCTGGTTTTGGAAACGGATGGATCTTTGGCAAAATCAAGCAATGAAATATCATTTTCAATGTTTTTAATCCATATTCACTGGTACGACAAGTTAAAAAAACTAGTAAAACAATATTAATCACGATAGTTAATGTCCTTTATGATAAAATAATTACGCTTCATTTATAATTATCTATGTCATCATCTATGTTATCATCTTTTTGATCGTCTTAGTCGTCATTTTTGTCATCAACTTTGTCGTCATCTTTGTCGTCATCTTTGTCATCACTTTTGTCATTATCTTGTCACCGTCTTTATCATCAACTTTGTCGTCACCTTTGCAGTTATCTTTGTCGTCATTTTTGTCGTCATCTTTGTCATCATCTTTGTTGTCATCGTTGTCATCATCTTTGTCGTCATGTTTGTCATCATGTTTGCGGTCATCTTTGTCATCATCTTGGTCATCCTTGTCATCATCTTTAACATTATCCTTGTCGTCATCATTGTCGTCTTTGTCATCATCTTTGTCATCATCTTTATCGTCATCTTTGTCATCATCGTTGTCATCATCTTTGTCATCTTCTTTGTCGGCATCTTTGCAGTCATCTTTGTCGTCATCTTTGTCCCCATCTTTGTCATCATCTTTGTCGTCATCTTTGTCATCATCTTTGTAATCATCTTTGTCATCATCCTTGTCATCATCTTTGTCATTATCCTTGTCGTCATCTCTGTCGTCTTTGTCATCATCTTTGTCATCATCTTTGTCATCATCTTTGTCATCATCTTTGTCATCATCTTTGTCATCATCTTTGTCATCATCTTTGTCATCATCTTTGTCATCATCTTTGTCATCATCTTTGTCATCGTCTTTGTCATCTTTGTCGGCATCTTTGCAGTCATCTTTGTCGTCATTTTTGTCCCCATCTTTGTCATCATCTTTGTCGTCATCTTTGTCATCATCTCTGTCGTCATCTTTGCCATCATCTTTGTCGTAATCTTTGTCATCATTTCTGTCATCATCTTTGTCATCATCTTTGTCATCATCTTTGTCATCATTTATGTCATCGTCTTTTTCATCACCTTTGTCATCGTGTTTGTCATCTTTTTGGTCATGGTGTTTGTCATTATCTTTTTTGTCATCTCTGTCATCATCTTTGTCATTATCTTTGTCATCATCTTTGTGTTTATCTTTGTCATCTTCTTTGTCGGCATCTTTGTCGTCATCTTTGTCCCCATCTTTGTCATCATCTTTGTCGTCATCTTTGTCGTCATCTTTGTCATCATCGTTGTCATCATCGTTGTCATCATCTTTGTCATTATCCTCGTCGTCATCTCTGTCGTCTTTGTCATAATCTTTGGCATTATCTTTATCGTCATCTTTGTCATCATCTTTGTCATCTTTGTCGGCATCTTTGCAGTCATCTTTGTCGTCATCTTTGTCCCCATCTTTGTCTTCATCTTTGTCGTCATCTTTGTCATCATCTTTGTCGTAATCTTTGTCATCATTTCTGTCATCATCTTTGTCATTATCTTTGTCATCACCTTTGTCATCAGTTATGTCATCGTCTTTTTCATCACCTTTGTCATCGTGTTTGTCATCATTTTTGTCATCGTGTTTGTTATCATCTTTATGGTCATTTTTGTCATCATCCTTGTCATTATCTTTGTCATCATCTTTTTCGTCATCTTTGTCATCATCTTTGTCATCATCTTTGTCGTCGTCTTTGTCATCGTCTTTGTCATCATCTTTGTCATCATCTTTTTGGTCATCGTGTTTGTCATTATCTTTTTTGTCATTTCTGTCATCATCTTTGTCATCATCCTTGTTGTCATCTTTGTCATCATCTTTGTCATCATCTTTTTCGTGATCTTTGTCATCATCTTTGTCGTCATCTTTGTCATCATCTTTGTCGTCATCTTTGTCGTCATCTTTGTCGTCATCTTTGTCATTACCTTTGTCATCATCTTTACCGTCATTTTTGTCATCCTTGTCATCGTCTTTGTCAGTATATTTGTCATCATCTTTGTCATTATCTTTGGCATCATCTTTGTCATCATCTTCGTCATCTTCTTTGTCGTCATCTTTGTCATCGTCTTTGTAATCGTCGTCATCATTGTCATCATCGTCGTCATCATTGTCATCATCGGCGTCATCATTATGATCGTCGTCATCATCATTATCATTATCATCATCATCATCGTCATTTTCATGGTCAGCATCATCGTCATTATCATCGCCATCATCATCGCTATCATCATCATCCTCATCATTATTGTCATCATCATCTTTACCATCTTTGTCATTGTCCTTGATATCATCCTTATCATAATTGTTCTTATCGTTTTTGTCTTTATCTTCAGCTTGCTCAACATCTTTGTCATCGTCCTTGTCCTGGCCGTAATGTTTGTCAGCGTCTTTAGAATCATCTTTAAATGCAAAATGGAAGTGAAATTTTCATATTTCAGATTCTGCTAATTATATTAGCTTAGAAAAGCTACCTTATTACTTGAAATTTTCGCGACACGTTAATTTCGCGAATTTCGTGATTTAGAAAATTATGAAATTAAAGTAAAACGGAAAATAAGTGTCGCAAACATACCATGACGCGAAAATTAAGTGACTCGCATTATGTTATTTTTGAAATGATGTCGCGCTTGTGTGTTTTTGTTAATTTTGATGTCATAGTAACCGATAAAGTCGGTTTAATTAGTTCCGTGTTATGTTTACATATATTGAAAGACCTATTCTAGTATCGGTTAGAATCTAAAATCTTTCGGAATTCCGAGACATGGCACATGGTCAAAATGACAATTCTTTTCACCCACTGACCAACCCAATATTGGAGAACACTCTGGTTTAGCTTACTGCCAAATAATTAGATTAATCCAATATTCTTAAAATCGTCCTTTTTTTTAGACAAGGAATAGTTCTGCAATAAGCTGCTTGTATTAACACTTTTCTGCGCTCAATAGTTGCGAAAGGCGAATCGAATGAAAATG